TTTTTTTTAGGAATCGATAATAATTTATTTATAGCATAAAAAATATTTTCTTAAAAAAAATTGTCATGTGATTGTGAATATGAATTAAAATCATTTTACTAATGAAATGAAATAGAAACATTTTTTTAATACTTGTTCTTTGTGATAATAACCGTTTTTCTAATACTCTTCTCCCTTAGACGTTCTCTGATAATAACCGTTCCATCCGTCTTATTTTTCAAATGATTATCGATGACATCGATGATGTTATTATTATATATATAAGTAATGTCAAAACAAAACAATATTTATATACGGGAGAAAATACATTGTTGATTACATTATTTATATATACGGAAAAATATATTATTGTTATAAATGAGAACAAGTTTAATTGTTATCAATATTAAATAATACAAATGTATCTATAATTATGTTAATTTCTTAATAGATATTATATAATTAATACAATTATTTCAAATGATTAATATTTTATATGTTTTGTGATATAATAACGACAACCAAATTTTCAAATCCAAATTTACTTCTATTTAAAAATTTATATAATTTTGTTTTATGCCATATTTAATATAAATTTACTTATATTTTTAAATTTATATATTTTGATTTTATACAATATTTGCTATAAATATATTTTTAAATTATAAATTTACATGTACTTTAATATATTATATATATAAATTTCATTATTATTTATATTATAATAATTAAATATATTGATTTAAAGAAATACATAATTTTAAATTTATGATATCTTATTTGTATAAATAAAATTACTCTATCAATATAATGATATATTTTCACAATTTTTTTTTATATTTTTATGTTTGCAATCAATATTCTATTCTTATGTTTGCAATTAATATCAAATTTATATCATATTTTCACATTTATGAAAGAAATGTTTATAACGATAAAAATAAATAAAAAATTAAAATGTTAATTGATCAACTTCACGATGATCAATATATATTTTTCTATATAATATATAAAAAAAAATATACCTAAACATACTACTGAAAAAATATGTTATTTTTTAATTATTTATATTACCAATAAAGAAAAAAATGAGACAAATATTTATAAGTAAAACAGTATTAGACAAAAAATCATAAGTAACATATGAATTAAATGACATTAAAATTATATGTTAATATAAACCATTCATTATTATTTTATGATCACCAAAACAAAGGAAATAAAGTAGATTAAACATCTTTTTCTATGCTTCTTTCTCTTTTCGTTTTGCCTTAATTGCAACTTTGGCCCCCCTATTTTGTGTTTTTTTAAGTTTTGATCCCCCCATTTTAAAAACCACGATTTTGGTCCCTTTTTTAAGTTTCATGATTAATATTAGTCTCCTTGACATTTTAAGTCATGGTTTTAATAAGGTGGCCCGTTGAATGCTGATGTGACATTTCCATGTCATTAACTTAAATATTATTTCATTTTCACAAATTTAATAAAATAAAACTTAAATAAAAAACCCCATTAACTTAAATATTATTTCATTCTCATTTTCATCTTCCCATTTCTTCACGAACGAATCAAACTGCAACTCACATTTCTTCTTCCCATTGTAACCCATTTTTCTCAACAAACCCATACCAGCCCTCCTATTTACCAACATGTCTGAAACACATTTTTCTTTTTCCTCAACAAACTCGTCTGGGTCTGGTATAAGAAGAATAGGTAATAGATGTTGGTGTGAGCTTGAGTCACCGTTGATGACGTCATGGACATACGATAATCCCATAAGAAGATTTCATGGGTGTGGTAATTTTAAGGTGATGAGGAAAAAAAGGATGTAATTACTTTCAGTGGGTTGATGAAGACATGAGCAGTCATGCTAAAGATGTGATAAGATCTTTGAAAGACAAAAATGAGGAGCTCGTGGATGTGATTAAGGACATCAAGAAAAATGAAGATTTATTGAAGATGAAAATTAGATTTATGTATTATTTTGTGGGGTTATCTTTGATGTTTGTCTTTTTAGTTGTGTTTGCATTAGTTGCAACACATGTACTCAATTGATGTAATGTCAAATGTTGTAGTTACTTTGATGTGAGAACAGATTGTGTAATGTTATGGGAACAAATTTATGTTGAAACAGATTTGTGTTGGAAACATATTGTATGAACCATCAAGCTGTTGTACCATATGTTCATGGAGATGCTATGATCGATTGTGTAATGTTATGACTCCTCTATGCATATTGAAAGTACTTCATGTTATTTTACACAAAAAACAACACAGGTAGTTATTAAAGTATGTTAGTATTGAGCTATAAAACTTGGTGGCAGTTGAAAAAATACACAGTCTCACGTTTTGCAACTACATTCAAAAATTCATTCATTCAAAAATTGGTACATATTACTACATAATGTATTGTTTTTTATGCTTTACAACTACATTAAAAAATTCATTCATTTTCAATTAACAGTGAATGTAGTTGCACTTGTTATCAATTTTGTAGCAACCGTTTCAGCAGATGAAGTTCCATTAACAGCAGTTCAATTATTATGGGTCAATTTGATTATGGATACATTAGGTGCTTTGGCTATTGCAACAGAAAAACCTACTAAGGAATTAATGGATCAAAAACCTATTGGTAGACCTATGTATCAAACAACAACATTATATAACAGCACTATATAACATAACATTGAAGGTTGATGTATCAAGACTGATGTATCATTACATTGACGACAACATTAAAGACAACATATTTTAACAAAAAGATATTGAGTTTTTTTGTCATAACATATGCTATAGCAATATCACAAAAAGTAAAGCAAAACATATAACTATTCTTGGGTTGGTGGCGGTGCTTGCGACCCTCCGTCTACAACAGTTTCTCCCGCTTCCTTGCCCGACTTATCACCCTTTTTTAAGATTTTTTGTTGCCACCTTTAGGAATCGCTCTCTCCGCAGCTTGCTTCCCTTTACACGTTCGTTTGTTATGGCCAAAACTCCCATATTTCTTGCACTTGACATTTGAAGAGTTATAGGCAGTGTATTTCTTATACTTGGTTCATCATTCGCCTTGTTACAATTCTTCTTAGGACGACCAATAGATATTCGCATGATTGGAGGGCTGATTGGGTTATTAACATTAACATGCCATAGTTGTGGGCCATTAGCTGACATGATGATATGGCTATAAGTAGCTAGAACAGTATATTTCCTAGACAATGTGACACAATGATTTTAGTTTACGTACAAAAAAGATGAATGTAAATGAACATAATATACGAGTAGGTGATACCTATAGAATGATGAAACGTAATCTTCAGGCTCCTTCTTGTTATACCATATGCATGCAATAGCATGACAACATGGTATCCACTTAAATCCCACTTCCTACAACCATATTTCTGTTGAAGCAAGTTCACAACATATGTCTCAACACCGTTTGAAACTTCGAATATAGCAAAGTCATCATCTGCATGCCACATTGCAATCCATCCTTATGCTGCCCTCTTTGTTTTTTCCAAGACTTTTTGAATGCTAGGACTTGTAACACCTGTGTACCTACTTAATTTCTCCTTTTGAGCAGATATTCTCACTGTTATGTAATGTTTGATTCGTTCAAGTAGTGAAATGATCGGCTTATCTCTATAATCCAAGATTGCACGATTAAAAGCCTCACGCATATTGTTGACTTGCAAATCATATTGTGTGTCTGTTTTGAAATGAGACCGAGTCCAACATGCAGCTGGGACATCCATCATGTCTTTTTAAGCATTGACATTGAGCTCTTTTATATGATTCATTGCTCTTTCCCATGCAGGAATTGTTGTGGCTCTAGCTGCCCGCCATAAAGCCTCCTTCATAAATATTTCAGGATATTTCTTTCTCCAATTGCCATACAAGTGTTTAACATCTCAGCAACATGTGAGTCTTAACTAACAGCATGAAGATGCACACAACTAGTTCATTGAACATTTTGTTTTTACATTAGAATTCCACAAACATCAGCATATCATTAATGCAAATTCACCTTTTAATAATAGTATATAGCAGTTTTAGCATTGTATAAAGTTTCACCAAAACAAATCAACATATCAATACTGTACACCAAACAACATATCAACACAACAAACAACAACATCACATATCAGTACTGTACATCAAACAACATGTCAACACAGAAAAACATCACATATCAAACAACATTGTAACAAATAGCAGCACTGTAAAACTAACCTTATGTTGATCTGATATAAATCCATATTTGTTGTCTTGTATAGATTGCAAGTCTTCTAATAACAAATTAAGGAACCATTTCCATGAGTCTTTCGTTTCAGCTTCCACTACGGCATAAGCGATTGGGTTACAATGGGAAGAAGAAATGCTAGTTGTGGTCTGATTCGTTCGTGAAGAAATGGAAAGATGAAAATGGTTACAATGAGTTGAAGATGAAAATGAAATAATATTTAAGTTAATGGGGTTTTTTATTTAAGTTTTATTTTATTAAATTTGTGAAAATGAAATAATATTTAAGTTAATGACATAGAAATTATATTAAATTTAAAAAGACCATTTTAACTGACATGGAAATGCCACATCAGCATTCAACGCGCCACCTCATTAAAACCACGACTTAAAATGAAAAAGGGGACTAATATTAATCTTAAAACCTAAAAAAGAGACCAAAATCGTGATTTTTAAAATAAAGAGATCAAAACTCAAAAAAACACAAAATAGGAGGACTAAAGTTGCAATTAAGTCTTTCAATTTTATAAGTAATGTATGTATCAATTAAATGACATTAAAATTATACGTTAATATATGCACTTCATTATTATTTTATGATTATCAAAACAAAAGAAATAAGGTAGTTTAGAAAAATAAGATATGAAATAGAAACGAAAAGAGAAAGAAGCATAGAAAAAAAAAATCCATAAAGAAAAGAAACAAGGTAGGTTAAGTGAACAAAACCCTTAATTCAGTATATCAGTGGGTCAGTGGAAAGCCCTAGACACATACACTTCGCAATGGCGCTTGTTAATCAAACCCCTGACATCTCCGGCGAACGACAATCCGGCCAAGACGTTCGCACCCAAAACGGTAACATCTCTCTTTCTCCCTCACACATTCTCCTTCTCCGATAACAACCGTTTTCCTAATAGTCTTTCTCTGTGAATGAACGAATCCAGTTGTAGCATGCCAAGCAGTTGCAAACATCGTGAAAACCTCATTAGGTCCCGTCGGTCTCGACAAGGTATAAGATCCATCGATTCGCGTCTTCTTCCTTTGATTTCGTCGTTCATTTCTTACTTCGTTTCCGTTTTTCTTTTCAGATGCTTGTTGATGACATCGGCGATGTTACTATCACTAACGACGGTGCTACCATTCTCAAGATGCTGGAAGTTGAACATCCTGCTGCTAAGGTTAACCTAATTTCAATACTTCAATGCGATATTGATCAATCTGTTGATTTTATTCATTCAGTTTTTTTTTTCTTTTTTAGGTTTTGGTTGAGCTTGCTGAACTTCAAGATAGAGAAGTTGGAGATGGTACTACTTCCGTTGTCATTGTGGCTGCGGAGCTTCTTAAAGTATGTTTCCACTCTCTGTTTTTACCACTTTATTTATATATTTATTAAATCTCACATTAATGTGTTCTTTATTTTTTTTTAGAGAGCAAATGATCTTGTTAGGAATAAGATTCATCCAACTTCAATTATCAGCGGATATAGGGTAATTTTTTATTTTATTAATTTTTTAAATTTTATTTGTTTTCTACTATAGTTAATGTATCTATTGCCTGACTATGTGGTTACATTTTATTTGCATTATTCTGGTGTGCGGATTGATTTTCTATAAGACATTATTTTTTAACTTCTTTCTGTGTTGATTACTCTGTATAGCTTGCTATGCGAGAGGCGTGTAAATACATTGATGAAAAGTTGGCTGTCAAGGTAAGGTTTCCTAAGTAAACCTTTTTTATTTATACATTTGTTAGGCTAGTGAGGAATTAGGATTTGTCTCCTGTTCTCATCTCTCACTCTTTGTAGATGATCCGTAGATGTTTATTACCTTATTTCAAAGCCAGAGATGTTACTTAACTATGATTTCTATGTCGTGTTTTACGGGGTCATTGCTATCTAAAGCTACTGTATTTTGTATATCCATACTTTTTGAGTATTTATTTTCTTTTTTGATTCATCTTTGTTGTTGCAAAGAGTATTGTAATACTGTTTTGATATGTTTACTATTTCTTGATTTCATGTTTAAATCACCAACTTAAATAAAAAAAGAAGTTTTCATCTTCGCCACGGGTCCCTGTCCTTTTTCCCAAGAAACATTCAATGGTTTAGTCGTTCTTGTTTTATGACCCTTCTCGGAAAAATGAGTGCATCTAGAAACTGTTGTATATTTTTTATGTGATGCTTAGCCAGATTGTTCTATTCACCTGTAGGTTGAAAAGCTAGGAAAAGATTCACTAGTTAACTGTGCCAAGACCAGCATGTCCTCGAAGCTGATAGCTGGAGACAGCGACTTCTTTGCGAATTTGGTAAGTTTGTGTTTGTCTTGACTTTAATTGATAATTGGGTGTTTACATCACTTTAAGAGCTTAAAAGTTTGTATTTATATATCTAAGCTTTTATACATCACTCTTGTTCATGTCTGCAAATTTTACTTGAAACTTGATATTGAATGAACTATCTATAGCATATACTTTCCCTCATTTCAATTATAATAATGACATAATTTTCTCAGGATTTCCAATTTCTGTTAGAGAGGCAGGGAGTTCAAAATTATTTCATTGGTACAACCATGGTTATACTCTGTAGTTGTGCGTTGAATGTGTAAATGATGATTGGATGATTGTATCAATCACCAACTTTCTGAGAGATATGGCGATGGTCTTTCTAATGAATATTATTGGGTCTAAATATAATACTATCCTAGATATGTTTCAAATCTCACTAAAAGCGATGAAGTTACTTTCTGTTTGATATTGTAATTTAAAATTTTCCAAATATATTGGGTCTAAATATAATACTATCCTAGATATGTTTCAAATCCCACTAAGAGATGAAGTTACCTTCTGTTTGCCATTATAATTTAAATTTTGCAAATATTTGTTCTATGGTTGATTTAATCAATACTTGTAACAAATCGCTGGTAACAAGTACTCAACACTTTCTTTTTTGTTTCCTTTTTGTAGTTTGAGCTGGCACAATTTTTATTGCTCTTGTATTGTTTCAACAGTATGTTGGGAGTTCTAAAAAATTGAAATGGGGGGTTAATAGAAAAAAAATCATAAAAAAAGAATAATTTTATAGAATGATTGATTTTGAGCAATAGAGTGGTCTCTCCGAAAGTCTCCCCCAAAGAATGTTTACTTCTTTCTCCAGAATTGGACCTAAGTCCCCCTATCTATTTAACAAACACTGTCACCCTTTAACTAACTATGTAAGTAACTTCTCTCACTTATCTTACTCCTTCGGTGTCCTCCGGTGTCCCAACATAATATGAATGGTTTGGTGTCACATGAAACTGTGGAACAAATGCTTTAATCTTGATTCTAGTAGTTTTAAAAATCAATCCCAATGACATCAATGTTCCTCGAGCGTTCTCTGGCCTCCTAACACAGTATGATTGGTGTCACATGAAACTGTGGAACAAGTGCTTATTCTTGATTCTTGAAGTTTTAAAAATCAATTTCCCAATGATGTCAAAGTTAGTATGATACAGAAGCATTTTCAGTTTGAGTGCTTCATTGACAATTAATAGTTCTAATTCTAGATTGAAAGTCATCGATATCACACTGAATGATAATTCTTCATGTCATTGCTTGAATGAAACATTTTGGTAGAGAAAGGGTTGTTAGCTTTTACTCTTGGTTCTAGGAACTTTATTATTGAGTTGACTGATTCAACAGTTTAACTTTTGTGGTCATGGTAATGAAATTCTCAAAAATAGTTTTGATTCTCACTGTTTAGGAAATAAGGCTTGTTGTTCTGAATGTATTGAGTGGTTATGAATGTGATGCTCACTACTGTTTTTGATTGATTTTTCTGGCTGCAGTTGTAAGTCATTATTATTTTCAGTTGTGAAATTTAGTTTTGTTTGCAATTTATGCAGGTTGTGGATGCAGTGCAAGCTGTAAAGATGACCAATGCTCGCGGTGAAATTAGATACCCAATCAAGGTTGGTAGTAAAATTTGTCTATTTATCTCGAGGTTTAATGATCATAGGCTTTATATGAATTTAATTCTGTTTCATATTTGGGCTCCAGGGAATCAATATATTGAAGGCACACGGTAAGAGTGCTAGAGAGAGCTTTTTGATGAATGGTTATGCTCTTAATACTGGCCGTGCTGCCCAAGGAATGCCTCTCAAGGTTTCCCCTGCAAAAATTGCTTGTCTTGATTTCAATCTTCAGAAGACAAAAATGCAACTGGGTGTTCAAGTATTAGTTTCTGATCCCAGGGAGCTTGAGAAAATTCGCCAAAGGTACTGTTTGTATAGCTTCCTACAAAACTATAAAACTTCCTAGATCCACTAAATAAATTTATTATCTTATTGAATATAAGCAGCGTAAAAGAAGTATAAACAGTATTGGTCTGGAATGGATGATAAAGAATGGAATAAATGTATGTAATATGTTTCAACAGTCGATCACTTTTTCCTATTTCAGAGAGGCTGATATGACTAAGGAACGGATTGAAAAACTACTCAAAGCTGGCGCCAATGTTGTTCTGACCACTAAAGGAATTGATGACATGGCACTTAAGGTATGCTGCTTATTTACATTCTGGTACTTTTTTCTAACCCTTTTTCTCTTTGAACAAGAGAATTTAGTCACATAATTTCATTTAGAATTTCAAAGAAATTATGTCTTTCAGTATCGTCATCTTGATATCTGAAAATTATTAACCATCTTCATTCCTTATTATTATAAAACTAGTCATTTTACCTGTAGGATTCACAAGACAAATGACAGATATGTGATGTTTTTATAGCAAAAAAAAGAGTTTGAGAGTCATAAGGTTCTCAATATTCTATATTCTCCATATGTCATTGAACACGAAAATACAGATCCACTGGCACAAAAGAAACATAAAACGTAAGCATAACCAAAAAATCACAATGTGAATAGGGTAAAGTTATTAACCATCTCTCATGAGAGGAACCTCAATATTATTCAGACCACTATACTTGTGAAGTTATGAGATCTATGGATCCACTGGCACAAAAGAAACATAAAACATAAGCATAAACAAAAAATCACAACGTGAATGGGGTCAAGTTATTAACCACCTCTGATGAGAGGAACCTCAATATTATTCACACTACACTTGTGAGATCTATGGATCCTTTAAACGTGTTACTTCTGATTTTCTTCTCAATGCATTAATAGTTGTCATGGGTCATATTTATGGGTTACATTACACCCTTCAATTTTTATATTATATGTTCTGTTCCTGATGATTTACTTTCTGATGATTTGTTAAAAGGCTCATGTGATTAGCTAAGTATGTCTGTCTGACGATTTAATTCTGGTTTCAGTACTTTGTTGAGGCCGGGGCAATTGCTGTGAGGCGTGTGCGGAAAGAGGATATGCGACATGTTGCCAAAGCAACTGGAGCAACACTGGTAAGACTTTGTTTAATTTGAATTTATTGAAACTGTGGGATAAACTAGTAAGTTGGAAGTAATTCAGAATATCTATGAAATGACTAGACTTTTAAAAATGCACTGTTTCTTATTTGGTATCTCCCATTTTGTTCTGCAGTTGAAGGAAATATTATTGATGTTTGTATGGATTAGGAATAGAAATAAAGAACACGTCTTTGTTCGTTCCCATATAATAAATAATGAAGGGCGCTGAACTTTTCCTACATAGAATGATAGTCTTTTAAAAAGATTAACATGTTTTGAATTCCTTTTTTAATGCTGAAATGATAACATTGTTTGTAGCTTTTGATGTCTAACAAGAATGATTCGAAAAACTCGCACAAGATTCGTTCTGTCTTACCAGACCCAATTTGCAAATGGGATTATTTTTATTTTATACTGTATTTTGACTTTGTTATTTTAGGTCATTGAATGGCTTTTAATACCATTCCATTTAAGCACCCTTTTCATTATTTGTCAAAAAACACGACAACGAAGCAAGTGATCATCGATTTTAGTCATTCTAATTGCCTTATCTTTCCCCTGCATTATTTGGAAATTAACACCAAACTTCTGGGTTGGAATAGCTCAGTTTCACATTTTGTTATTTTAAAAGTTCAATTCTTTTAATACTTTCACATCATCTCCAATATGCCAATTAAAAGTTCTAACTTCAAACTGTTTTTAATATTTAAATCATCTGTATATTTATTTAAAGATTTGACTATAATTTTGTCATTGAAGTGCTGTCATTTGTTTAGCATGCTTTTAAAATAAATGTTACATAGTATTCTACTCCATTGATTATCAGACTTCATTTTTATTATGATTGATTGATGCAGGTCTCAACATTTGCTGATATGGAAGGAGAGGAAACTTTTGAACCGTCATTTCTTGGAATTGCAGATGAGGTTGTTGAGGAGCGCATTGCTGATGATGCTGTAATCATGATTAAAGGGACCAAGACTTCTGGTGCAGTAAGTTGTTAGGAAACTGGGGATTTAGTTGAAATTTTTTTGTTTAAAAGTATAAATTCATTAAAACAGATGAAGTACAACAATATTGAGGAGCAAGAATCTTCCATAGCCAAAAGAGCAACAAAAAATAAAATGAAAATATAAATCATCAATGGTGTCAAATTGGCCAATCATTTTGCATCTGTTAACAGACTACTCAAAGATCTTACTGTAACACAGTTAATTTTTTTATTTTACTTTGTTTTTGGGTATGCATGCACGTACTGGCATCAATGCAGGAAGATTACTATTTTTAAAAGCTGGAAACAAATTTTTTATTAATTAAGAAATATACAATTTCGACAACATTACATGATGGGATAGGCCTTCGTCTCTTAAGGAGTGGAGTAGCCATTTGCTCTTTTGGTTTATTTTCCAAATTGTGATGGTAAACTACTTTGTGTAAAATTTACGCAATATAGATTAATGTTAGTGTAATTGTTCATTTATGAATGAAGTTACCTAACTGAAAATAAAGAGGGCAAGTTGATGCTATTAAGCTCCTCCGCCTTGTGGGGTCCAGGGTCAGAATTTCAATTATTAAATTTCCTATTATTAAGTAAATACGAATCCCAATAAAACGTGGAATTTTTAGCATTATTGGGTGATGATTTATCATTTGGGTGCATATTGTATACGATATACATTATCTTCTGACTGTGTTTTCCTCTTTAGGTCTCTTTGGTTCTTAGAGGTGCAAATGATTATATGCTTGATGAAATGGATAGAGCTCTGCATGATGCGCTATCAATTGTCAAGAGAACGCTCGAGTCAAATACAGTAAGCTTGCATTCTCTAACTATAAATCCTATTTGGGAACAATTAAGTTGTCCAAAAATGAACATTAATTTCTTCGTACAAGTGGAATATATTAAATGAGGGCTCTGTTGGTGGGTGATGAGATGCCTTGAAAGGGTAACTTGGGTCTTAAAGTTGTTTTTAGGGAAAATGAAATCAATGATTAATTAGGGGTTTTGAAGCAAGAAGTTCTGTATTTTGGTTGATAATCTAAAGGATCATACATTAAGATAAGGGTCTGTTTGGATAAACAACTTATTTGCAACCTTAAAGCACAAACGTCTATCAAAATAAGCACTTATGAATAAAGCTTGCACATGCTATTTTTTTGTAACAAAAGATGATATAAATTTAATTGTTTTTATAATGTTATAAGTTGTTTTCATGAGCTATCTTTAAGAACTTATAATAATAAGTTTGAAAAAGTTTATGAAAATTTTCTGGGATGATTCATTGTATCACATCTGGGATGATTCATTGTATCACATCTGGGATGATTCATTGTATCACATCTGGGATGATTCCTTCCTGTTTACTACAAATGTTGTGATTGTGACTTGGGAAGTAAAATCCAAATGTTCTATTGTGTAATATAGTGTTCCTAGACTTTCAACTACGATACTTAATAACCTATAAATAATAAAACTAAGTAACATAAATAACATAATCCTTCATGATTCAGCTCATGGACTTGAGCATGAATATAATTAGTTTATCACAATAACTGTAATATAGTGATCTAGACCTTCTACTCACGCAACTTACTAACATATAAGTAACAAAACTAAGTAACCTGATAACATAATCCTACATGATTTAGCTCATGACTTGAGCATGAATAAAAAGAGTCTATTGCTAGGAGTGCTGGCAAAGACTGTTGATAATTAGAATTTTCTCTAGTTGGTATTTATAGATCACAGACTGCTTCTGGTATGCTGCTACATCCATACTGTGATACAGTAATGTCAACCAAATAATTTGGATATGAGAAATTAGAACTTATAGACAAAACACTTTCCGAAGCACAGGATTCTAAATGTCTTGAATCAAAGACTATATATCCATTCTTAATAAATTTTTAATATAACGTGGTGCTGGCTTCTATGTGCTCGACTATTGACCAGACACTTACCTTAGAGCACATAGTCAGATCTGACAACTGCTTTTCCATGAGATTTATAATAGAAAGCCAGAAATATTGAAATGTATTGTTAATTTGTAATATCAGAAGTTGAGTTGTATAGTGTACACAATCTAAGTAACAGTTATGCTTTGGATTAATTTGCGATTAGACTTTTGATGGTTAAATTGTTACTCTTTGACATCCTCATTGATTTAATTGTCTTTTCTCCAGTTTATGCAGACCTGCAGTTCGTTGATACTTTGTATTATTTTACGTTCTGTTTGATCTGCATTCTCATGCTTGCTTTTTCAAAAATGTAATTTCAGGTGGTTGCTGGTGGAGGTGCTGTTGAATCGGCATTGTCAGTTTATTTGGAATACCTTGCTACAACTTTAGGATCACGGGAGCAGTTGGCTATAGCAGAGTTTGCTGAGTCTCTGTTGATCATTCCAAAGGTATGAGGCAAGCAAAGTTGTGTTAGGTCTTATATACATGTTTTGCTATAACTAGAGTGGAAAGGCATTGTGAAGTTTGGTTTTCTACCTTGTCCATGAATTTAGCATCAGTGTATACCTTTCCTTAGTTTCTGCACAAATCAATTGATTTGGTAAATTGCCACATTTTTAGTTTAACGGGCTTTCACGTGGGGTTAGTGTGGTATAAAAAATAGTAACTTTTTGGTTTCGTACTATGTTAACCCTTAAAATTGTATCGTTTGGTAACACTTTTTTGGCACAGGTGCTTTCTGTCAATGCTGCTAAGGATGCCACAGATCTGGTTGCAAAGTTACGAGCCTACCACCATACTGCACAAACTAGAGCAGATAAGAAGCATTTATCAAGGTGGGCTACTATTAAATAATAACTCTATTTTCCTTTATTTTGTTACTATTTTTGCCTGAGCATTAGAGCAGCATGTTCAATTTTTATCTTTGTTGTGTCATTTACTTTTCTTCAGCATTTGTAATATTTTCTTTTGTAGCCAGGGGCGTGCATCTGAGAATTGGTATATTGTAAGCGAGCCATTTTAAAAAAGCCCCAACCAAATTTTAAAAAATGACCTGAATCCTTGTACTAAAGAAACCAAGAAAAGCAATACCGACTTATGATATCTGTTTTATTTATTTGTCCAATACCAACCAATACATCATCTTTGTAGGCATATGAACTCCACAATCATGACATCAAGCTACTGATGGATTTAACAATGTTGTGTACCTTTTTTTTTTGTTTGGGAATTTTATGGTTTATAAGATGTATTTGAGATATGAAAATATGCAAATTTGGTTATAGGTTTAGACAAGTTGAACAAGTTTTTGCATATGCTACTTAATATCTGAGGTTTGATTAGAGGTTATAGTATTCTTACATTATGTTAATGCATTAACAGAACATGAAATGATGCTGGATAAACTGACTATTGTTGTACGAGCTCACAATAGCTGCCCTAGTTTCACAGCATTGGCATGCTTTTCTATATCTTAAAAATAAATATATTTTTTTTGTTCTTTTTCCAGCATGGGTTTGGATCTCTCAGAAGGGAAGATTAGAAACAACTTGGAAGCTGGAGTCATCGAGCCTGCTATGAGCAAAGTTAAAATCATTCAGGTGCGTATTTAGTTATAAATGATCAGTTTCTGACCTCAACACAGCTTTCTATACAATCTGTCTGAGCAAAATTGTTCACTGCTATTTATCAGTTTGCAACTGAAGCTGCTATTACTATTCTCCGGATCGACGATATGATCAAGCTTGTCAAGGATGAAGGTCAGGAAGAATAGGGTGTGTAGTTGAATTTTTTCGGAGGAAGGGCGTTTGCTGCCTGTGCTGGTGTGCATTTGAAGAGGAAGCTATATTTATTGCTCTTGATGATCTTGGAGGGAGAATATTTTTTTTTTCTTTCTAAAAGTAGCTTTTATTTTTTCACAAGTTTGCAGCTAATGTTTTGTAGTAGGCGAGGACATTTTGTTATGGCTGACAGTTGAGAACAGGCAGTGTTTGTGTCATGCATTGGCTGGTTGCATGACGTACATGCCTTTCCAAGGCAGTGTTTGGTTTGTGGAATTTTGATGCTTCATTGTTAGCTATTAGTTTTTAATGTAAGAACGAGCTAAGTGGGATTATGTATAATGCCAATTTTTTTTAATAGAAGCACAACCTTTAAAATTCTGAGTTTATAACAGCTCGGACACGCAAATCACCCAAGCTATCATTAGTGAAGTGTTTAAATTTGAAAATGCATGAATTGTTTTATATACATCTGATATTATCTTATGTAATCTGAATTGTGTTCTGACAATTATAAAATGAGATTGGTTACACTTAATATTTCCCTCATTGACTTAAAAACCTTACCTATACTATGACATAAACAAAATTGAAATAATTTAATGTTATGAAATAAAATAATAATGTAAAATTCGAATTTGAAAATACTAAAATATGTATTCCTTAACATGATGTACAGCACTTATGTGAGTCTGTTATCACTAAATGAAAACACTTTATCAGTATTATGGATTCCTTAAAAAACAATACTTTTACAAATCACCCTTAAAAAACACCCTATACCTTTACAACCTATGACTTATATTAATTTTTTACAAATCAATTTTATATATACAGTATATTATTTTTTTTTAAAAGCGTTTGAACCTCCGTTGACACTTCTTAAGAGGATCATAATTACATTGAAATATTATATAATATCCACATTAATAACCGGAGAATTATGAAAAAAGCAGGAGAATTACAAAGAGCAAACATTTAATAATTCATTATACAATGTCACCATAATGTTACTCATTTCATGGCCACCACCAAGGTCAAGTACTTGTGATTCATAGCCGTACTGCATATTCGTTTTAGCCACATGCACTAAAATGTACCCTAAATTGTTTATGGGGGTTGCTTTTCACATTCTTAGGGCGAAGAGCCACCATTGTAAAATGCAAAATTGTCTTTTGAAAATTCATAAGTATAAATTCGCATGCATTTAACATAAATCACATTCTCACTCATCTCATTTGTCAAAAAAATATTTCGAAAGTGTATCTTAACACTAATGGAAGAGTAAGTTTGTTGTGCACCTATTTAATAATTTATGAATACATTTTAAACTTATGATAATCTATTTATTTCACAACAAAAATAATTCAGAAATGTACTTTCATACTAATCCTCAAAAGGCAATTTCTATCATAGGTTGTAAATTTGTTATAAATTTAACATTTTTTAAGAAACTTTATATTTTAGGCTATTTATACTTATACATAATTGGTATTCAATTAAACTCTAAAATTATATATATTAATTCAATTAAAATTCATAATCAAACATTATTGTTGAAAAATTAGAAATCATAATACAAATATTATTAAAATAGAAGTAAAAGTGAACTCTTAGGTACATTTGACCACAATTTCTTCTTTATCTCATGTAGGGTAAGATATTATATGCACCGACTAGCATGACCTTTATAATGACCCTCTTAGAAGCGCCTTCTGAAAACTCTCATCTTTCTATACATATTTGCCCAATAGCCACAATACGCTGGCATGCAAGTAACACATCAACATCATGATTTGCCCTAATTTTCTCCTCATATAATATCATTTATCATCATCGGTGGCATGTGCTTCTATTGCTTCTTAAAGCCTTACACATTAACATTTAGGTCACCCTAGACTTAATAAAATGCGTCTTTTAGTTTTTCAGTTTTTCTAAGTTTTCATTATTTGAGTGTCATTCATGTTAATTGTACAAATATACTCGTCACACATATTTTCAGAATACGCTAGTCAAGTTCAAATGAGTTATATAAGAGTTATTCGTGTCTGTTACTGTAGTGCATGGGCTAAACATATGACCGAGCTTCCTTTGTATCCACAATATGCTTTTCCGAGCACACATCGTCAAGCTTTTAAAACATATATATGTTACGTAACCCTCCTCAGAACATTATGAACTCAACAACTATGGACAAAATTACTACATGGGTGTCATGTTTGAAAGCTTTTCAAAGTTACTGCATTGGAAATTTATTGTTATTAAATTTATTTGAATATTAGGTTGAATATGTAGTGGATATGGTTATTGTAATATAATGTTGATAGTTTGTTGATCAAAATTATTATTTAAAAAATAAAATTCCGAACAAATAGTAATTCAAATCGACTAAACCTAATCATATGAATTGTTTAAACTGAGAATCCATCAACGGATAAAATCGAACACAGTTTTGGATGAAATTGGGTCTAACTTTTTCAACCGTGAATTAGTTTGGATTATCGATTTTGGGGCCAAACCGTGAATTGCCTTTATGTGTGCTACCAATGCGTGCTAGGCTACAACTCGATTGAGGTTTTTGATTTGAAATGTTTTGTTGTTGAAGTGATATATGAAACAAGTGAGAGACTCCTTATGTCTTCCAAATATATATATATATATATATATATATATATATATATATATATATATATATATATATATATATATATATATATATATATATATATATATATATATATATATATATATATATATATATATATATATATATATATAAATGTATGTGTGCGTGTGTGTGCGCGCACGTGCTCGCGGGTGTGTATAAATGTATTAAAAATAAGGATCCTCAACCCAAATCCAAAAAAAGAAAGAAAAAAAAAACAAGCAAATGCCTCAAACTAAAATAAACTACACCAAATCCTACCGCATGGAAACACTTAGCTCAAAGCCAAAGCAACAAGAAATCCAAACAACATGAATTCCAAGAAAAGCAACACCTGTAGAAGAAAAAAGAACAACAAACACAACAATGTTACATAAAGAAATTTGACCTCTCGACTATCCTATGGAAATTAGAGCGGACCAACCTACCTCTTTGGAGCCCTAAAAGGAAAGAGCCACTAACTCTTCCATCAATTGAATCTTCGATCCTTGTAATAAGCAAATCTCAGGTTTTCCGGACAAAAATAACATCGAAATAGAATTTCACTTGGTTGAAATACAACCCCTCGAATGTTATATGAAAGGACTATCATTTAACACCTTTGAGTTTAGCTCAATTCAATATGAAGTTCTCTCTATCTAACCTCTCCAATCACTTTATCTCTTCTATATAAACTGAGCCATTGTCGTCTGCTCTGATGCCTAAATTTGCTGCCTTATTCCAAATTTTAGACACAACACATTCCTCCTCCATCGCAATAAACTACCAGTTCCCTTGTGAACTTTCTAATAAAATCTATACATTAAATAATTTAATACAAAATCATGACTTAAAATAAAGTCATATATTTAAGTTTTTTTTAATACATATCGTAATTTGATATTTTTTAACATGTTTCATAAAGCATCTGCTTATGTTTAACCATATCCACAAAAAGACAATAAAAGAAACCAAATGAAAGAGGGAATGAGATGAGAGGCGTTAACTATAACTTTTTGCCATTCATTCAAAATATATGGTAGAAATTAGGAGTGTTTATAATCCAAATAAAATTCACACTCAACTTTTATATTAAAAGGAAAAAAAAACCGGACAATGCTATTATATATTAAAGATTTAATTACACTATGTTTATTAATTTAGTGTATTTTTTATTTCATATATTTTAAATCCAGTTAATATTTTATTATTTCATTAATAAATTGTAGCATATCATATAATATATTTTTAATATAAAATGAATATTTTTTGTGTGCAAAATATCAAATTATTTTATCTAAAAAGCTGCCTGTGATTTACACTATATAGTACAAAAATGAAAGCAATAACTAATTTACCATGTCTTAACTTGAGCCTTAAGAAAGCAAATGCAAAATGCACATGGCATGACGTATCTTCTGCAAGATCACAAGCCCACACAATTAAAACCGTCAATTATGATCTTCATATATAGTCAACAATTCCGTCTTGTCTTGTCTTGTCTCTTGTGCCCCAAGACTTGATTCCAAAAGCACAAATCCAAACTAAACTCCATAAATATCTTCTTTTCAATTCATGCATACATGAATCACGTAATTGAGGTTGTAAGAGGCATTCATTCATAGTGCAAAAAATGCATCCATTTGAGAAACTAACTTGCAATGGACTAATGAACACAGTAGAAGAAGAGACCGAAGAGTATCACTTTGTTAAGAAAGGTTTCCTAAATGGTATGGGATTCATGCAACATGCTACAAACATCATAGCCATTCACAAAAACAACGTTTCCTCTAATTTAACAAGACAAGCTCGTTTGGAATCCTTTCATATTTTCTCAAAGGCAGTATCGATTAAACGTGGAGGTGATTCCAAAGTTAGAGGTGCATGGTACGGTGGCTCATCAGATCAACTCATAGATATTCTATCTTTCGGATTCACACGATGCAACGTTGATGAATCTCATGGTATTGGTATTTCATTATTTTGTGCCAATTTTTCCATTGATAGTGCAATGTGTACGGTGGCAGATGAGGATGGTTTGAGGCATGTGTTGCTATGTAGGGTTATAATAGGGAAATTTGAAAGTGTTGCTGCTGATTCAAAACAAAGCCAACCTAGTTGTAATGAATATGACACAGGAGTTGATGATATTTTAGCACCAAGAAAACATGTTATTTGGACTGCTTTTATGAATTCATACATTCATCCAGATTATATTATAAGTTTCAACTATAAGAATATCAAGGGTATGTGGAAGTGAAGTGATTTATTTTTCATCTCCATTTTGCATGTTTTACGAATTAGTATAATTTATTGTTTGTTGGAACAGATCCAGAGATATTTGGGACATTAAAGCCTCGATCAGAATATGTGTTATTTCCTAATCTTGTGGCAAAAGTTTCAAAGCATTTGAAACCATCGCAAATGTGTTTGTTACTCAAAAGCTACCGTGCTTACCAAGTAAGTAAACAATATTTTTAGAATTGCTTTGTTTTAAGGTTTTTAATTACTTTGTTGCTGATTAAAAGTTGATTATGTTTGGGGTTAGGAGAAAAAGATTACAAGAGAGATATGGATAAAGAAAATGAGGAAGATAGTAGGGGATAAATTGCTGCATTTACTGATCACTCATAAATCCAATGATGATGTGCAAGCTCTTTAGTTTCAAATTTAGAATTGTATACTATAATGCCCTACTACGTAGTTTCTCTTACATATTGGTTCTTTTGAGCAAGGGAGCTATGCATTTATCATCATTTCTCAAAAGTCACAAATGGTGGGTGTTAAGTGCTTAAATATAATTTTCTCTATTATAAATGTACTTTAATTTTCTTCATTTATCTTTTATATTTATAAGTATTCTCCTTTTATATCTTTTATATATTAATCAACTTTATCATGACTCGGTATTTTAGACAAAATTAGTTAGTTTATTTTTCTTTTGAGATAGTTTGATATTATACATATCGGAACCTTTATGTTATATTTTAAGGGAGGTTGAAATGTTATTGGACACAAAAATTACTCTTCCAAACGTGAATGAGGTTTTAAACTCTTTTCTTAAGACGATGAGGAGTTGGAGAGGTTTTTGTGTAAAATTTGAGAAGGTTTGCAGAAGACTCAAGATGATTTTCGTGAAATGTAGTATGAAAATATTCACCTGACCTAGAGATTTTGTGAAGGTTTGAAGATAATAGATGAGAGGATGATAATTCTTGGTGAGAAACTAGACACATATGCATTATATACATTTTTTTACACTCCCACTGACGCGCCTTTGTAAAAAATTTGTTTATGGTTTGAGATGTATGATTGATTAGTATCTTGTGATATTGCTTAAATAAAGTGCAAATATCTATAGTTGATTTTTTGTTTTGATAATTGAGGGAAACACTAACCCATTTGAGTGATAAACATTGAGATAATGATTTTGATGAATAATTGATTGTTGATCTGAACATCTTTATGATATAGTTCACACTACAAGAAATATTGCATTTTCCCAAGTGATATTCACGTCACTAACATAAAAATCACTTCACTGGCCAATGGTTGCGACGTGGGTAAAACACGCCGGAAATGCAATGGTGGGAACTTTTTCCCACGTGGAAAACACGTCACAAAGTTGTGACAGAGTTCCCACGTCGCAAATAACAAAATAAAGAGGAAAAGTTCCCACGTGAAAACCAAGTCACTAATTAGTGACGTGAAAATCATGTGGGAACTTACCTTTACCAACTTGCTCTGCACGCGTTCCTGACACAAAGTAATTTTATTACCCATATAATTCCCACGTCACAAATTAGTGACATGGGATCCACTTCACTATTAAATTTAATTATAAAAAAAATATTAACTGAAAACAACTATAAAATTAAAATAAATATTAAATATTAAATATATATTCATATTTAATACATATTCACTAATATTTAATACATATTCACTAAAATATTCATATTTAATATATATTTATAATAAATATTTAAAGTATAATTATATTAAATATAATATAAATTCACTAAAATAATATATTATACTAATAATAACATATTTAAAGTATAATTAATACATATTCATTATGAACTTGTATTTAAAGAGGAAAAAAAAGTAAGCCATTCTTCAAATTTATTTTTAAAACTTCTTGATCAAGTCTTGAGACATTTCTTAAACCTTACTAGTTCTCCCATATCCATTCTTCATGGTCTATGCGAATAGCATGCACATCATCCTTTTCATCTTCTTCAATGTGGGTAGGTACATTTTTTGAAAAAGGAGGAGTTTCGAAAATATCAAGATTCTCATCTTGATTTTCATCACTACCTTGCATCTTTCCTTGTATAACCACTGACCATCTTTTATTAGAAGGATCTGTGACATAAAACACCTGTTTTGCTTGAGATGTCATGATTAAAAGGTTCGTCTGGATAAGCTAACTTGCTAAGATCAACCAGTGTAAATCCAAATTCATCGATTCTTACACCACTGTTGATATCAATCCATTTGCATTTAAATACACGAACTTTAAACACAACATAATCAACTTCCCAAATCTCTTCAATCACCCCAAAGTATGGTATAGATGCGATAACAGGGTTTTCATATTTAGAACTAGAGAAGTGTATGGACTCGGCCACAATCATAACCCCACTATTTTGTGTGGTACTGCGGTCATCCTTTGACTTTGTATAAAAGGAAGTTTTATTAATATCATATCCACTCCAAGTTATTATGTTACATTTAGGCTTATAGGACAACCACTTGATTATATTAGAAGCACTATCATCATTAGCAAATTTTTCTTTAAACCACTCAGAGAAACTCTTATTATGCTCTTTTAACAGCCCTCTTTCATTCATCTTAGGGTACTTTTTCTTTATGATGCTTTTGTGAGCAGATAAGTAAGGTTGAACTTCATCCGTGTTATTCAATATATACAAATGCACTTGAACAACCACCTTAATACTTAAGCTTTTGACCTTTAAACCTTGTGTACCCACACCCTCACATCTTCCATCATGGCGAGATTTGGGAACCCCTACAACATCCACATCTGACAAATAGTTTGAACAAAATTCAGTTGCTTCTTCTGCGATGTACCTCTCAATAATCGATGCTTCCGGACGGTGTGGGTTTTTTGTATACCCTTTTAGAATCTTCACGTATCGCTCTGTTGGATACATCCACCGTAAATAAATTGGACCATATAATCTAATCTCCCTTACTAGATGAACAATCAAGTGAACCATAATGTCGAAAAATGAAGGAGGAAAATACATCTCTAATTGGCACAAGATAACTGCAGCCTCATTTTCCAAATCATCTAACTTTAATGGATCAATGGCTTTACAACAAATTGCATTGAAAAATAAGCACAATCTAGCTATAGTCTTCCTAACATTGTTAGGCAATATCCCACGAATAGCCACTAGTAGTAGCTGTTGCATTAAGACATGACAATCATGAGATTTTAAGCCAATTAATTTGAGATATTTAACTGATACAAGCCTCTTGATATTTGATGAGTAACCATGTGGAACTTTAATACTTTGTAAACACTCGCAAAAACTTGTTTTCTCTTTCTTAGACAAAGTGTAGCAGGCAGGAGGCAAATATATCTTGTTACCTATATGTTGTGGAGTTAAGTTTTCTCGTATACCCATCAAACCCAAATCCAGACGAGCATTATAACCATTTTTTTTTCTTGCCTTGAATGTTAAGAAGTATTCTGATTAAACTATCACATACATTTTTCTCTACGTACATCACATCAATACAATGTCTTACATCAAGACTAGACCAATATGGAAGATCGAAGAAAATCGGCCTCTTTTTCCATATATTTTTCACAGTAGATTGCTTTTGGTACTTTCCAAAGACAACATTAATACCCTGTTGTCGTTGATAAACTTCGTCTCCAGTTAAGGGCTTTAGAGCAATACCATGCTCTTGTTCCCCATTGAAAGCTTTCCGCAATCTACGATATGGATGATAACGACTCAAAAATTTTCTATGCCCAAGATAAACAGTCTTCTTTCCTTTTTCAAGTTGATGGTAACATGTGCCTTTTTCACATATTTGACACACTTTATGCCCTTTAACTTTATACCCAGAAAAATTGTCATATGCTGGAAAATCGTTGATGGTGCAAAACAACATGGTACACATATTGAAATGTTCATCAGAATATGCATAAAAAACATTCACACCTTCCTCCCACAACACTCTTAAATCATCAATCAGTGGACTTAGATAAACGTCTATGTCATTTCCTGGTTGTTTTAGGCCCAAAATCATCATCAATAACATAATATATTTACGCTTCATGCACAACCTAAGAGATAGGTTGTAAATCATCAGGAGAATAGGCCAAGAGGTATGGTTAGTACTTAGATTACCAAACGAATTCATTCCATCACTAGAAATTCTAAGTCTAAGGTTTCTCGACTCTTTGCCAAAATTTGGAAACAAAGAATCTATTTACTTCCATTGCAAAGAATCAGCTACATGGTGAATTTGTCCATCACATTTTCTTTCTTCTGCATGCCATATAAGATTCTTTGCGTCATTTGTATTAGCGTATAATCTCTTGAACCTTGAAATTATTGGTAGGTACCATACTACTTACGCGGGAGGACCCTTTTTGACCACCTCATTGTCACTAGTATCACCATCCTTCTTTTTGTAGCGTGACGCCTTGCACTTTGGACAATGATTATAGTTTACATACTCTTTTCTGTATAATATGCAATCATTAGGGCATGCATGTATCTTTTCATACTCCAAACCCATCGGACACAATAATTTTTTCGCCTCGTAATAACGATTTGGCATTACGTTATCTTCTGGAAGCATTTGTGTCAACAATTCAAGCAATTCGGTAAAAATTTTGTCAGTTCATCCATTATTCGCCTTCAAATTAAACAATTTTAACACGACTGACAGACGTGTAAAATTTGTGCATCCTGGGTACAAAGGTTTATCCTTGTCACTGCATAAAGTATCATACGCATGTGCTCTCTTAAACGAATCTTGTCCAATATCACGTATCATGTCTTTCAAACTATCATCCATTTCTACGCTAACATTATCTCTTTGGGACACATTTGAATTTTCTAATACTTCACCGTGCCATATCCATTGTGTATAACTTTGACAAATCCCTTCACAAATTAGATGATCCATGATTTCTTTCTTATTAAGTTTTGGTTCTTGATTTGCACAACGAACACTATGGACATAGATAAATCAGATGATTACTTTTTTCAACATTACTTTTAGGAGGAGGGAGATTTTTTTTAGCATTACTTTCAGCAAACTGTAGAAACTCCATCACTTCATTTTCGTACTCAACACTTAATCGATTAGCTCTCATCCAGCTACGATCCATACCTATGTTCCGAAATAGCTAAAAAATTCCTATAATAGCTAAAAAAGTCTATTATTCAAGAATAAAAATTCTATTCATAACAAAAACTACTCCTAACAAATTTCTATTACTTAAAAATTCTATTACTCAAGAATAAAAATTCTATTCCTAAACAAAACTATTCCTAACAAATTTCTATTACTTAAAAATTCTATTACTCAATAATAAAATTTCTATTCCTAACAAAAACTATTCCTAACAAATTTCTATTGCTCAAGAATAAACCAGTGTCA